AACGTGCCTTCGTATCTAAAACGAAAGGTACGATGTTGTAAATAAGAGGCCACGAGACGTACTAGACGATCGGAGAGTCCTATTTTATATAATTTAAATATGAGGCCTTCGTGCCAGACTCGGTCGAAGGCTTTGGCAATGTCGAAAAAGACAGCGATTGTCTTTTCTCGACGTGGATAAAGACCGCTGAGGACATATTCCACAATGCGGTGAACTTGTTGGGGGCAGGAGTGTTTCGCTCGGAAACCGAATTGGTGGGGAATGATAAGAGGGTCACCGTCTGTGGGAAACAGATGGCGCCTCATTCGACTTTGAATTACTCTTTCAAAGAGTTTGCCCATGGCCTTTAGGAGGCTAATGGGACGATGATTGGAGGGGAGGTTTAGAGGCTTGCCTGGCTTGGGAATACCAATAACAATTGCCTCTTTCCACGTAGTGGGAAAATAGCTAAGATTAAAGCAGGCGTTAAATATAATAGATAAGAGGGTTAACACCTGCTCTGGAAAGTGTTTAAGGGCTTGGTTGGATATGCCATCCGCGCCCGGAGCCTTTTTGGGCTTAAGTCCTTTGATGAGGGATGAGATCTCATCATTGGACACTGTGATAGGGTCAGAGGTTATGGGGGGTGAGTTCCGGCGACGGACCTCATCCTCCACTTCCTGAATATGTGAGGGGTCGACAGGTTGAGTGCTAGGAGAGCATTGTGCGGCAATACTATCTGCAAAGCACTCAGCCTTTTCATCGTCCTCGAAGGCAACCGTACCGTCGGGGCGAGAGAGAGGAGGAATGTGATTTGTAGCGTCTATACGGAGGGCTCTAGCCATCCTATAGTACGCTGTATGGGAGGGAGATATATTCTCCATGAGTTCACTCCTTTGGAGGTCTCGAAATTCAGCAAGGCATAAGCGGAGTTTTCGTTGAAGACGATTAGCCGTATGCCTATATTCGGGGGTGGGATATTTAGCTGCTCTCCGAAAAGCAGCTTTTTTAGCTTTTAATATGTTGCTAATATGTAGGGGAAGCCCACTATTATTAGCAACCGGGACGACCCTTTCATTCTCCTTAAGGGAGGATTTAATAAGGGTTGAAAGTGAATCGACCGCGGTGTCGATTTTTTCAGGACTGTCTAAGTCTAAATCCGACGATAGGTAATTAGGGGAGTCCTGCGAGTCCATAGCTTTTGCTAGGGAGTCCTTGAAACCCTTCCAGTTAGTGAAAGTTTTCGTATTTATAATAGGGGGTGGCTGATGGCCAAGAATAAGGGAGACCGGTCGGTGATCGGATCCTATATCGTCTAGTGTCTCAATTGACCTGAGGTTGAGTGAAACTCCTTTGAGTAACGCAAAATCTAGTATGTCTGGATTGTAATCGGTAGCATCGGGATAGTGCGTTGCACCGAGAGGACTATGTACTGTAAGGTCAAGATCCTGCGTGATATTAAGCAGTGTCCTGCCACTACGATTGATTTTACGGCATGTCCATTCAGTATGCTTAGAGTTAAAATCTCCAAACATAATGACTGAATTGCCTAGAGACAAGATGGCCTCAAAATCATCTTTGAGGGGGAGGTTCCTAGGTGGAATGTAACAGGAGGCTATGACTAAAGACTGATGTCCCGTCATAGCTAACCTGCATATCGTTGCTTCCATATTGGTAAGCTGCGGCGTATCAATATGAGAGCAATGTAGTGTTTTCTTGTAATAAATGGCCGTACCGCCGCCTCGGCGATCGGGCCTATCATTACGTAAAATAGAATAATTATTAATCGTAAGGCCTACCGTATCCCTAGATTTTAATAATGTTTCCTGTAAGAGGACGATATCGGCTTCGCGATCTCGAATAAAGAGCCTAAGCTCTGGGAGGTTATTTCGCAATCCGCGAATGTTAAATGAAATAAGCGATAAACCTTTAGGCTTGATACGTCCGTGATTTATAGGCAGAGCAGAGGGCTCTGTCTCTGTCATTGTAAGTTAAGCTAATTAAGTTAACTTAACTTACAACGAACGCAATAAATTATTGTGCTCTACTAGAGCCAAAAGTCGGTCCTGCGGTGACCTCGCAGCACGCAATTTGCTTGCTAAAATTGTTATTTCATTAATGTCAACGTTCTTTAACACGGCGTAAACCGTGTTTAAGTCGTCGGCTATTGAAGGCTGCTTCTGCTGCTCAGCAGGGGCAGCTTTTTGTGGATTAGCCTTTTTAGGGCCCCAGGGAAAAACTGGAGCCTGCATAGGCTTAGAAAAGCCGGGAGGTGGCCTAAGCGGCGCCTGCGGTTGTCTTTGGGGACCCTGAGGGGGTCGCGCGAAGCCCTGAGACGGCTGTGCTGCTACGCCCTGACGGGGCTTCCTAGCGTACAATGCCGGAAATGAACGGTCATTTACCGGCGGCGGAACCTGTCTGGGTGCGGGAATACGGGGGCGAGGAGCGCACGGGCATCCTCTGTAGCTCGCCGGGTGTCCTGTCTGCTGGCACAGGACACACGCGGGCGGTGAGACGGCATCTTTCGGCCGGGGACACTCTTTGGTGTTGTGGGGATCCAAGCACTTAACGCACCTGGGTGGGGCGGAGCAATTTGCCGCAGCGTGACCGTACAGCTGGCATCGGTGACACTGAGCCGGGAAACCGCGCCTATGCGGTGGCTCAACCTTTACTCCAGACAAGCCGCACACCGTGCGTACTTGCCGGAAGATGGTATTTGCCTCCGGAACGTTTTCTAGAATGACTGTTACTAGCGGGTATCTTAACCCGGTTCTGCTGTGCATTTTATGCACAGCCTCAACGGGGAAACCTTGCGACTTAAGGTCATCAAGGATCTCCTCGTTGGAGAGTTCAAACGGGACGCCTCGGATGACGGCCCTGATTTTACGCTCTTCCGGAAGAGCGTATGTATGGTACGATACTCGTTCACTAGTAAAAAGCCTAGTGAGTCGGCGAAAATCGTCAATCGAGCTCGGTATTATTTTTATTGCTACGCCCATGTTGGTGGCTTGATTGTATTTAATTCCCGAGTCATAGCATTTTTTGCTGAGTCGGGTAAACTCCGCCTTATCTCTCAAAAAGACAGGGGGCGGGACTTTAGTTTTGGCTAATCGCGGAGCGCAACGCGTGGCCGGTTTCGACGGCGCGGGAATATCCGACGACATAAGGGGGATCGAGGCAGCGACGGGGGCTGCGGAGGACGGCGCGGCAGCGGCGGGGGCTGCGGGGTTGGGGGGAGCGGCACGGGCCGCTGAGGCGGGGGGCGATCGGTTCTTCGCGGCGCGCTTCGCTGCGCGCTTTGAAGACACCGTGGTGAACGACGATTCGTTCGAAGAAGATGCTCCGGTGTCATCGGAGTCATAGGACTCCGATGTCCTGGTGCTGGATTTAGTGGCTGGCCTCTTACGAGAGGCAGATGTTAACGACGCGGAGTCGGAGTGAGAGCACTCCATGTCTATTTCTAATGCGGCAAATGAGTTCCGGGACTCGAGATGCGCAGCTAATACGGCGGGCGGTTGTTGATTTGCCTGACGGGCGGGAGAAGCCAGAAGGGCTAAGGCGGCGGTAAGCGCCTGCGGGTCGTCCATTTTATTGATGGCCTCCATAAGGGAGGATTTTAGGTCCTGAGTGGACATTATGACGGTTGACGGTTAATGGTTACGCGAATGGGTGTGGGGGGTCTACCGTTCTGAAAAGAACGGGACGTTCTGTACTCTAAAAAACAGTTCCCTTATCCTCAAAAGGACAAGGGCTTGCTCGGAAGAGCAAGTAACGTATTCCAAGAAACAATATAATATGCACGATATATATACACAAATAATTAAAATAGACTAATAAACTTATACAGTACTAGTAACTACTATATAAAAAAGCGTGCAGTCAGACCTCCCCGACTGAATGGCGGGGGGGTAGGAACTGCAAGTTAGCAATAAGGACTTACAGTACTTCAGCGCTAGGCGCTCACTACCTGAAAAGCGCGAGGCGCGGGGCGGGGGGGCACTAGCGTTGGGACGCTAGGCACGCGGACAACCTGTACACAACCGCTCGGGGGCGGTGAAACAGGTAAGATTCAACACAAAATTTTTTTTTTCTTATATAACGACTATCACGGTGACTCTACTAGCTAGTGGTCTAACGAGCGTATCGAGTGTAGATCAACCAATCAACGACCAGTTTGCCCGGACAAATGGAAGGGGTAGGGTAGAGAGTAGGGGATACGGGCGGAAGATTAGTTTAGAAAGAACGCAAATTTTATTTTATTAAACATTCCAATATAAGTAATATATAATTATACTAATACCCAATTATTTTAATAAAATAAATCATTATCGAATATTTTATAATAATAAAATAACTACTGATAATGTTTTAATAATGCATGTAAATTTATAATTAACATAATACATTGAGTCCATTTATCGCGGCGAGGCAATCCTCTAATCCATCTAAAGCCAACGGCAACGGTGAAGTTCATAAGAGATTTTTACTACATAATATGTTGAACGGTAAGTATTTATATATGTTTCTCTTAAAAAAAAAAAAAAATATTTTTTTTTTTTTTTTTTTACCTTTTAGTCTATTGATTATTATTAATTCATAATAAATATGGCTTTCGTCTTATCGTTACCATTACCAATAGAAAGTAATAGCGTACAAAAAGGAATAAGGTATAGTATAGGAGGAACTGAGGAAAGAGGCTTTAAAGAACGTTCGCATTCTAAGAGACTAAATTTATAAATTATCGATAGTATTTGTGGCCCTCAAAAGGGCCTTTTAATCACGTACCAACCACCACGAACGGTAGATAACAATAGAGCAGTAGAGACACGAGTCGACGGACGGCGAATGCACCATTATTATACTAAAGAGCGTAAAACAGAATATGCAATACGTATATAGTACAATTAGGGCATTACCGATCGATAAAACGTCGACGCATACTCTCGTCTAAAGTTCTCAACCATTTTCTTGGGCCTAGTGGTGTGGTGTAGTAATGCGACGGGAGTAGTGTACACACTCGTTTAGGCCTTCTTCTCGGTCTTCTTGGGAAGAAGGACCGCCTGAATGTTGGGTAGTACACCGCCCTGGGCGATCGTCACACCGGAGAGGAGCTTGTTCAACTCTTCATCGTTGCGGATGGCAAGCTGAAGATGTCTCGGTATGATTCTGGTCTTCTTATTGTCCCGAGCAGCGTTACCGGCCAACTCTAGAACTTCAGCGGCGAGGTACTCCATGACTGCGGCCAGGTACACCGGAGCGCCGGCACCCACACGCTCTGCATAATTTCCCTTTCGCAGCAGCCTGTGAATACGTCCAACGGGGAATTGTAGACCGGCACGATTCGAACGGGACTTTGCCTTTCCCTTCACTTTACCGCCTTTACCACGTCCAGACATTGTCGTTAATACGTAATAATAAAATTCTAGAAATGTAGAAAATTAAACACTCGTCTCTATATAGACGACGTCAACACCGATATAAACTAATTTTTTTAACTATTTTCTGTGATGTTAACGCTGTTAACCTATGCGGTTCTTACAGCTTCATCGGACGCAGGGCTCGCGGCCTGAAAGGCCGCGAGCTATTTAAAAGTGGAAAGGCGGTAGCTGGGATAAGGATGAGGATGATGATGGTTTGTGATTTGGTATTGTTACCAATCATCATGTCCCCTCCGTAGAGGTTTATTTTGAGCTATCTAACCGCAGTCCGAGGGGGGGAATGCGAACCCCTGCCTCTGACTGCTTAGCTCGTATCGGTCGATGTTCTGGGCGGTGAGAACCGCCCAGGCACGCGGGTGTACGGTGTGTACGCGGTGTGTGTTGGAACGCGTCGTGCCCGCCTACGGGTGCGACGCGCCCCTTCCGTTGTCCTATTAGTGTTTGTCCCAATTGGTGTGGGTGTAGTGTCAGTGTGTGATGTGCCTGCGACGTTTGGGTCGACGGGATCGAGCGAGCGCGGTTGCTCTATTAATACATTACGCGGTCTACGGAGAAACGGCGCGACGTTCGGTATCGGGACGTAGTTGGCTGCGTTTACCACTAGGGGGTTCGGATGAGCTTCGGCGCTGTCAAAGTAGCGCTGGGACATCTCCTTAAAGTATTCGGAGATACAGGGGAGTTGACAATCGCTGTGTAAATCAGAGTTCCGTTGATACCACCGTGCACCGGTGGCTTTACGGATGAAAAGGTTTTGAACTTTCTGTAGTTCGTTTAGGTGGGACTTATATGTGTGTGCAAAGGCTACACTTGCGTAAGACATGATAGGTCTAACGCAGGATTTGTACAAATGGAGTTTGTGCCTTAGAGACAGCTTACTCTTGCTGTTCACAAGAGGATGGAGACGGCCAATAACTGACTTGGCTTTGTTGCGAACAATACTAATGTGTTTCGCGAAACTCATGTTGGCGTCAAACGTAACGCCCAGATATTTGGCCGAGGATTCCCATGGGATGGGGCGGCCGTATAAGGTAATTACCTTCATACGTTTTCTTGGTCCATTACCGGACTGTTTTGGATTCCGTTGAAAGTATATTGCTACACTTTTTTCGGGATTCACTTCAATTCTCCATTGGCGGAACCATTCGCCTAAGCGATTGGCAGCTTTTTGGAGTTTTAAAGTGAGAATATTCCTATTGTACTCTGATACAAAGAGAGCCGTATCGTCGGCGAAGAGAGCGGTGTTGACCGCTGGATCTTTAGGGATGTCACTCGTAAAAAGTGTAAACAGAATTGGAGACAGGGCGGAGCCTTGTGGGACACCGGCCTTAGGAAAGCGTTTCGAAGAACGGGTTCCCTCCACTCGATAGCGAAAAGAGCGATTTGAAAGGAAGGCTCGGATGATGTGTACGAGCCTGTCCGGCACGTTTAGTTTATACAGCTTGTAGAGCAAGCCGTCGTGCCAGACCTTATCAAATGCCTTTGCGACATCAAAGAAGAGGGCTCCCGTGCCTCGAGATTTTCTCCTTGTCGGATGATGATTGAAGCCAGACAGAATATATTCTGTTAGGCGATGAATTTGGTTAGTACATGAATGTTTGGCTCTAAATCCAAATTGTTCGTCAGGGAGGAGTCTGTTAGTTTCCGTGAAGTGACGGAGGCGCTTGAGGATAGTGTGCTCATATAATTTACCTAAGGTGTTGAGTAGGCTGATAGGCCTGTAACTGGTGGGTCGGTTACGCGGTTTGCCCGGTTTATGGATTCCTATTACGTCTGCTTCTTTCCAGATATCCGGGAAAGAGCAGCTCGAGAGAAGCGCGTTGAAAATTCCTACGAGGAGGTAAATTAACGGTGCCGGAAGAGATTTGATCACCTTGTTACTGATGCCGTCTGGCCCAGGGGCTGATCTAATCTTAAGGCTTTTTATGGTCTTAGTGACTTCTTCGAAAGTCACGGGATCGAGTGGATCGCCCGCTGGCGGAAACGCAGCCCTACGTTCGATTTCCGCTTCTACCTCTAGCAGGTGAGCGGGATCTGTTGGTACGCTGGATGGGGTACACTGGCTCTCTAGACTGTCGGCTAGGCATTCGGCTTTTTCGAGATCGTCTAAGGCGAGATCGGGGTGGTCGAGCCTCACGAGAGGCGGCATGGGAGCAATTTGCTCTGCTTTTATGGCTTTAGTCAGCCTCCAAAAGGCATCTTGAGATGGTTCTAATCCCTCTAAGAGGTTATCCCATTTATCATTTCTAAATTCTACAACGCGTTGTTTAATCTCGTTTTGCAGAGAACGTAGCCGGATTTTGTTATCTTCCGTGCGATAACGGTCATATGCTTTTAGCGCGGAGTTTTTCGCTCTAATCAGCCGTCGAACGTCTGCCGGAAGCTTTGTGTACCGATCGCTCGACACACGAACCTTACGGGAGCACTCTTCGACCGCTGATGTGAGGTGAGTCGATAGGGCGCTAATCGCCCTATTGGCTTCCTCCGGCGAGTCTATCTTGTCCGGTATTGTGTCTAAATGCTGGGAGTTCGTAGACTCAAGTTTGACCTTGAGCTTACGCCAGTCGACGATGGTTTTGGTCTGAGGGACCTCACCAGCCGACCGGCCCAGTTCTAATACGATCGGCCTATGGTCCGAGCATAGTTCGATGAAAGTTTCGATCGAGTTAATGTTAAGCCGGATGTCTTTTAAAATAGCTACGTCAAGGACGTCCGGTTGGTGACTAGTTATAAATGGGTAGTGAGTTGGGCTCTCAGGAGCGATAACGTCGAAGTTAAGTCTCTCCGTGAGGCCGCATAATATGTTTCCGTTTGGATTGTTTAGGTTAGAGTTCCAACTAACGTGCTTACTGTTTAGGTCACCCGCGATTACTACGCTGGGGCCTAGATTTAGTAGTGCCGAGATGTCGGCTTCTAATAAGGGTTTTTGCGGTGGCTGATATGCCGAGGCAATTATGACGGGCGGATGGCCCGTAAGTGCTATTCTACATACCGATGCTTCTAAGTTAGCAAGCGGTGGAGTGTCTAACGGTATACAGTGCAAGGACCTTTTGTAGTAGATCAAGGTGCCGCCTTTAGGTCCGGTCAGCCTATCATTTCTTACTAAGGTATAATTAGCTATTTTGGGATCGCGCACGCTAGGTTTCAAGAAGGTCTCCTGCACTAGCATGATGTCGACATCATGATCGCGTAAAAAGTACACGATTTCTTCCTTTTGATCTCTGATGCCGTTTGCGTTAAAGAACGCGACAGTCAGTGAGCTAGGTTTGGTTCTGCCTGTATGTTGTACTGCCATTTTGTTTTAGAGAGATTATTATTTAAGCGCATTGGAATGAACCGATCGCGTCGATGAGATTGATATGCTCAATGGTGGCATTGAGCTTATCTTGAGCGGATTTGGCCTCGCGTAGTTTACGGGCCAGGGAAGACACTTCGGCAACATTAATATTGCTGAAGAAGCTGCAGACTAACGAAAAGTCAGCAGCGAAGGTAGAAGATGCCTGAGGGGCAAGTTTGGGCTTTTGAGCCTGGAGAGAGGGCGCTGGCCGTGAGGCGGCCGCGCTAACAATCGCCGGGGGCTTAACCCATGCGTTCGACGCGGGTGCTGAAGGCACCGATGAGCTTACACCTTGCCCGGAAGACCCTTTAGCGGGGGCGGGTTTGGTGTGAGGCTGAGGGGGCGCGGGTTGAGACACCGAGATCGGTGCTAATGATGGGGCATGTTGCCTAGGACGGGACCTACTAGCGCTAGCCGCTCGTCCGCGCCGGTTTGCGCCTCCGCGCCACTTTCTACGCGGCGCTTTGGTACACCCGCGATAGTTCGCTGGGTGTCCCGCTTCGCCGCACAGAACGCAGCTCGGAGGGCCTTCCGACTCGGGCGTTCGGGTGCACTCGGGTGTGCCGTGGTCACCTAGACACTTAACGCATCTAGGTTTCGCATAGCAATTTTTGGCCGAGTGGCCATACAGTTGGCATCGGTGGCATTGACCAACGATGCCCCTATTACGGGGGGCCTCTACCGTAATCCCAGTGAGATTACAGATTCGGCGAATATTGTATATTTCTTTCCCTTCCGGGGACAGGTCTAAGATAACTAGACAAAGGTCTAGGTATCTTTTTTTGTCGGTGGGGTGGTGCATTCTGTGCACTTCCCTAACCGGGAGATTCTGCGATTTAAGATCGCTTAAAATGTGCTCGGTTTCGAGCTCCTTAGGGAGCCCGCGAACGACTACGCGGAGGTTGCGTTCTTCCGCAAGGGCGTAAGTATGGAAGCTCAGTTTCTGAACTTTGAGATGCGCAGTTAAAGCGCGGAAGTCATCCGTCGTTGAGACGTGGATGCGTATGCCCTGGCCACCATTGTGGACCTTTGGGCAGAAGATTTTTTTGGAGTCAATCCAATGCGAAAGGTTGCTCCATCGGGATTTATCCTGAAGGATGATCGGGGGCGGCGGTTTTTCCTTGCGCACCGCGGCAGGTTCAGAGTTCGCGATTTTGGCGATTTTAGGGCGCGCTGAAGGCGCGGTCTTTTTAGCCGGAGTGGCGTTAGGTGACGACGACGGGGACGAAGGGGCCGAGTGAGGCTCGGCGCCCTTTTTCGCGGCGGGACGTTTACGTTTTTTGCCCGAGACTACGGTGAAGCCTTCGTCATCGGGCATGGCGGGTTTCGCGACGTCGAACTCCATTTCGGAGCCCGTCTCGGCGTCCGAGAACGCCGGGGACGGCCCACGAGTGGAGAGCGCAGAAGGCGCGGGGGATCCTACGTCATAAAGCGTTTCTACGGACGCGGGGGTCGCGGGTCCGGTGCTGGGCGACATAGGGTCGTCCACCAACACGGTCGGACGTTCAGCAGCGGGCGTTTGGCGTTGC